GGAAATAAAGACATATGGTGCAGGTGGATGTCATTCTAGCACAGACAGGTTTATTGGCACACATCTTACAGATTAAAAAAAAAAACAGCCTAACGTTATAAAAGTATAAGGTTATTATCAGATATCTGGTTCAGTCTCTTACAGTGAACCTCACGCATGAATACAAATGTCTCACTTTCTTTGTGATGAATATTGCTGAAAACTGTGAACTGATTCAGTTATCTAGCAAACTATTTCGTGTCTGAACTCACAGAATAGATTATTAAAGTCATGCTAACTGTCTCAGTATTCCAGTTTTTACACTTAGTGGTGTTCCTGAGCTAATAGGCTTTGAAAAGGTGCAAGTAAAATCCTGCCAAGGGCTAGAGACCCCTGCACCTGCTCTGGCTGATCTTAAAGCCCCAGAGCTGGCCTCCAACCTGTAATCTCACCTCCAGCTGACCCTCCAGCTTGAGGCTGATTTGTTTCATTAACACGGAGGAAATGAAATAGGACTTCCAGTATTAAGTAAATAGTCAAAACTGCTTTGATATAAAAGCCAAATTCTGACCGCAGTGTTTATGGTAATCTGTCTGACTTTATCTTTGTAAGGTTTACGTCTAAACATGACCATGAAACCTGCATTGTATTCATTCAGGTTACTTTAAAGGTAGAGCTCTTCCTGCTCGGGTTTACAGTCATTATAGAAATGCTTTAATGGCTGAGTTTGCCAGTGATGTTCTGACTGCTTCCCTAACAGGCGCAGGCTGTTCTTTGGCCAGTTGGCATTGAATCTTGGATGCAGATGCTATTCCCTTGTGAAGATTTTGGCTCAATATACTAGTTTTTGAATCGTGAGTTTTACTTGAGATGAAAGTGACTTTGTGAAAATCTCTCTAGGATGCTTTTAATGCTCCCAGAGAAGCACGAGTGACTCCCAAAGCACTTAATGCATACTGTTTAAATACAAAATATTCTCATCTGACACAAATACACTGTAATCATGAAAACATGACTCTTCACATATGCAGCACTCTGTTCTATACATTGAAGGCCTTGCTATCTACCTTGTATGCACAGTTATTACCAATTAACAGTTAACAAGTTTTCTTTTTACAATTTTGCATGATGCATGAAATTGACATGTTTTTCCATCAGTTTACACTTAATAACACATCAATGACTCACTCGAAGGTATTTTGAATATTGTCTCAGAACTGAGTCTTCTTGCTAAATCAATTTTAGCTTTGGATGGGATGTGAGGACTCTGTCCCATTCTCCTGAAACATCCATTTAAACTCTGTCAGTCTGGATGGGAACCATCCTTGAGCTGCCATCTGCAGGTGGCATACTGACGTTAAGTCTGGTCTTTGGTTGGGCCACTCAAGTGGCAGCATTGTGCTGAAACCACACTTGGACTTCATTTCAGTGTCATGTTGAAAGGTGAACCTTCATCCCAGTTTCAGGTTGCTGGACTCTGGAGACTCTGTTCTTCTAGGACTGTTCTGGATTTTAATGCATTCACACCACCTTCAGTCCTGACCCGTCTCTTTGTCCCTGTCACTGAGAAGCACCTTTGTGTTCACTACAGGGATAGTATTTCACTGTGGGGCTGAATGAGGTGATTGAAGGAGCCTGCTGTTTACCAGACATAAAACTTCTGGAGTTTTGCTCAAAGAGTTCAATTTTGGTTTCAGATCAGAAAATATAGTTCCTGGTAAAAGCAAAGCTGACTGACATTATTAATTTTTACATATATTTGCTAGAAAAAATGGGACACAGCAAAATACTAAAACATGCAAACACAAATGGAAATACAATATACAAGGCAAAAACAGAGTTTGTACAATTTTAATAAGCTTGAAGGACAATATTTGGTATGACCACCTTTACTGTCCGACACAGTCTGAATTCTTAGGTAAACTTTTTGTAATGTCTTTTAGCGGTCTTCTGGAAAAGAGCCTTGAATGCCCTCCAGGTATCTTGAAGGACATTCAAGGCTTTTCTTTGGATGTCTCTGTGTAGATGATCCCACACTGCTTTAGTAATGTCAAGGTGTGATCTCTGGGGAGGCCAAATCTATTGCTGATATTATTCCACTGTATGTTTTTCAGTCCAGGCATGCTTTTAATACACTACTAGTGTGTTTGGGATGATTGTAATGCTGAAAAATGAAACCAATCAGATGATTTCCATGATTTTTGCATGTTTTCTTCATTCTAAATTCCAATTCAATTTTGACAAAATCCAACTCCACTGGCTGAAATGCAGCCCCTGACCATGACAGAACGTCCACCATACAATGCAAATGTCTGTAGATACTCACTGTTGTGCGTCTCTCCTAACATCCTGCATATTGACAGCAATTTGAAGCAGAAAAATTCTATTTTGGATTTACCCCACTAGATTCCCTTGCGCTGTCATTGATTTTCAGTTCAGTTCTTGTGCAATGTGGCATAGCTCAGCCTTTTCTCCCTGTTTCCCTTGCTTAAGAATGGCTTCTTGACAGCCACTCTTCCGCTGAGACCATTTCTGCTGAGGCTTCAGCCTACAGTCAACCGTCCAGATGCATCTCTCGGTTCCTGTGTCTAGTCTTTGCTGGATTTTACCTAGGACTTTCATCGATAGCTTTTAGGCCTCACAGTTCTTCTCTTTTCCTTTGCTTATCCAATTTTCACAGACTTTTTAAGGACAGTCCCCACACCATGCCATACCCATTATATATAGGTTAGTATTAGTAAGGAAGCAGCTATCATTAAGTTCATCTTCTTTGCAGGAAATAACCAACATTTTGAAATCAAAATGTCTACATTAATTATCCGAGCAGGGGCATATGTATCTCAGAAGACAATCACTTAATTGAAATTAGCACTGAAGGTCAATTTTTCATAAAGGTAAATTCAATAGCATGACATTTAGCTGTAATTAATAACACTGTGTACTTACATGGCATTTGGCATTGCTTCCTTGAGGAAGCCAACACAAAGGACCTTTATGGAGTTTTGCCATTTGCTTTTCTACAAGTATTTAATGCTGAAATTATGCACGAGATCTGTGCTGAAAAGGCATGGCTTATCATTTAATGAAAATTAGTTTGTGGTTTCATAAAGACCACGCTCATTTCATTTTAGAATTATAATAACAATATGCTGTGGTATTGTGTATCCTTGGAAAACTGGTGGGATAAATGGAAATTAATATCCGTTCATATATAAATCTTTGAATGCAGACAAAAGATTTAAACTCATGTTTGTCATATGCTACATTTTTGATGTTGCAACAAAGCCAGAGCACTCATTTGTATTTCAGGCTATCGCCACCTTTTTTTCTCCAGAGTTTGTGCTGAAACGTACGAATAAACAGGGAGCACGGCAGCTATTTCACCTTGTTCAAAGTGCAGTGTTTCCATATTGTGCTAAATTGCTGTTTTCTCTTGTCTGTGAATTTACATAATGATCAGTGGTTAGTCGTCTGCTGAGCAAGTGGAAATGCAATAGTTTGTTTGTTGAGGTCAAAATTGAGGTCATTACTTTGGGTATTCAGGTGTAACATTACATGCTTTTAAATCTAATCGGATGTGGAGTTTTATTCACGTGGAGCTGCAGGGTGCTGATATACGAACACAGGATTAAAGTGGAGTAATTGAATACTTTTTCTTTTCACACACAATTCAGTGATACACGTTTGTTCTGTTCCTCATGTTTCATCAGTTTTGTTTTGTTTTTGTTTCATTTCCACTTCTTTAAGTTATTTAGGCCAACAGTTCAAATTTCTAAAATAGAAATATTAAAAAAGCCTTTTCATAGATTCACATACCTAATCTAGATGCTTTCCATTTAGCTTTGTTTTATTTCACATGAAATTAATATAAGTAGGCATGTGCCTATAGCTCTTTATGTGACATAAAGAAATCAAACAAGGCTTTTAAAAACATCTCACAACCCACACGCACGACAAAGGTGAGGGTGAATTTGGCACAAAGGCAAAGAAATCAAAAAATACACCCAACAAAGAGTGTGAGGGTGTTAAAGAACTACATGGACTTGAACTGAAACTGAAGTGAAGCATCTAAACTAGAAATGTGTGTGCAAAATGTACAGTGATGTGCTTTTGAACTAAAATAAACAATGAAATTATTATTTAATGCAAAAAAAATCTGTCCGGTCAGCTGTACAGTTCTGTTAAGGCCCATAATTATTTAATGATTGCTTTACTTCTTGCAAATTTTATAAGTGCTCCTAAATATAGTATCTGCTTTAGCTATTCTTTGAGGACAGAGGGACACGTGAGATTAATTTCTGTAACGTATTTTTAAAAAAAACATCCAAAAAGCAGGTCCTCCTGTGGAAGCAGCGAATGAATAAAACTAAATGTAGTTAAGTGTGAAACCCTCCTCTGCCAACTTATTTTAAAACACTGCAGTACAATTAACCTTTGCTCTGTGCATGAAATAGTTTTTCACAGAATAGTGGTGTACTCATTAATAAATTGTAATTATCTTTTTTTATATAGCTGTTGTAGATACTGAAAAGATCCATTATGGGAAGCGACAGAAGTCAGGTCATAATGAAAGCGGAGAGGACGCTGGAATTAAATGTTGGAACTAATGAGTAACAAATTCATTTCAAAATCTTCAACGCCAAGGTAGAATAATAATATTACCAGCATCGCCACATTTATTGTCATCATCCATATCAGTTTCTGCTCTACTTGATAAACCAAAAGAAGCAAAAGAGATGGAAAGAATGACAACGATCTGCAGTAAAAGCAAAGAGAATGGCTGAATAGATGTGCTAGAGTTAGAAAGTTGCAAAGCTGCACGTTTGCTTACCTGTGGAGTGACTCTTGCACAAAGCAGGACACCTGAATGCACCCAGCCAAGAATTCTGGCAATTAGGTTTCAAAGAAACAATCGTTTTATGAACATATGTATTTTTTTGTATTTGGCAAAAGCACTGTACATTGATCTGTTCCACAGTCCACATACTGCAACACTGACATTACTGAAGGAATGTTAAAAGTTAGCTATATATTCAACTTTACACAGTCTTATGAACAGCTCCCGGTGCCTACAGTCTTTGTCTGTCTGTGGCATCATCCATAGTTCTTCATGGGTTAGAGTCAATTTTTCACCGTTTTTTACAAGAGTATCTGATTGAGCCATACAGCTCAATGTCAGAACGGAGTGACATGGAAGGATATTTTTGCTGTTGGCCTTTTGCCCTCATAAAGAATTTATATGCCCACTGAAATCGATGATAGATATTTCATCTTGTCTTTTAGCGAGTAACCTTCCGATGACCCGGCCTAAGAGCGAGAAATGTGACAAGTAGTCCTTTTGAAAAACAGAAAATAAAAAGACCTTTTTTTTGTTAAGAGAATGGGGGAACACGTCCTTCTGTCTGTCCGTGTTCTCTTTCCCTTGATGCAGAGATTCTAGATCATTCCAGCCAGCCAAGGAGGAAGAAAGAGTCCCACAGATCCCAGTATACACACCAGCACAAACATCCAGAGGAATATCCTGTCAATGACCATGGCCACATACTTCCAGTCCTCCTTGACCTAGCAGAGAGGGGAAACAGCACAGGGGGACATTTCAAATTTCACTCCACACCACCTTCCTTTTCTACCTGTCAGTTTTCACCCTTGATTGATTTCTCACGAATGGCTGATTTTTTCATTATGAGTCTGCTATCTCTTAAATGTCAGTCAATCCTTGCTTGTGTCTCTTATGAAAAATTCAAGGTCAAATTGCGGAGGTCCCATTGTTTTAAAGACAGGCCTATTCTGGTTAGAGCTCGAAAGCGTATTGTGGCGTCGACGGTGACTGATGTCAGTGAATACAATAGGTTTTTATTACATTTGCTCACATATATCCTCCAGAAACGTATTTTTCCCCTCTCAGAAACTTTATAATTAGCATTTTATCACTATGTGCTGAATTTTTTTTAATTATTTGACACGTAATACTTGTTCCAAGCACAGTTCCAGGGTTATGTTTGAAAGCAATAAAGAAAATTCACTGTTCACACTGAGTTGCCCATAAGAGCTTCTAAATAAGACAGTGTTCTTTTATCATCAGAAAATCCCGATTACTGTTATTACTGACTCAGTCATGTCACTTTTATCTTGCTTTTTAATAATTAGCAATGGTAAATTGACTTGTCATTTATGGGTCTGATACTTGATTGTCATTATGTGTTTATGTGCTCTTCCTTTCTTGCATCCCTTCTGAGTTTTTGGGTATGCGCATCCTCAACATATGCAAAAGCCATGGGAGCAGTATATAAACATGTATGTAAATGCCAACAACAAATGTTTTGAAAAGAAACAAATATGATATTGAAAGTCTTATTATACTTTGTATGATTTACAGTGAGCAGAATCAGTAGTTTAAAAATATATCCGTGTTGGCAGGGGTGATTTGGCCCTGTTCTTTTTCTAGTCAATAACATTTTTAAAGCCTCCTCCTAGTACACAGCATAGACAGGAAAAAGTGCAGTATGTGAACAATGCTGCATGCAGTGGAGCTCTGCATACATAGATGATAAAAAGCAGATAACAACATAACCATTTTTTATTTTTATGCAACACACAAAGGACAGCCCACACTGCTTAAAACACACTATTTTTCCAGTTATTCTGCAAAGCAGCACGCATTTATCTGAGAACTGTAACACGATTTATTTGTTGTCACTCAGTGCCTGAGTTCAGCTTAGCTGGATCTCTGACATGCAAAATAACAGGGTTACTTGTTTGTTCAGGATTACTTTCATCCTCTTTTGCACGAGAAAAGAAAGAAGGGGAGGAGCACTGCTTGGTGGGAGTGAGCACAGGGAACATACATGTAGGCTTTTTGCATGGAAGTACATTTCACCCCTGTGGGATCCAGTCAGAATCTACTGTTTTTATTTAATGTTCCTCTGACACCTTAAATGCCTGCAGGCAAAAGATGCGAGGTAGTTATGGTTTTTTTTTTTACAAACAAACTGACCTTTTAGAAATGTGCCCGCTGAGGTACCATGTTTCTCCTGCTGGGATCTGACTAATTTTGAAATTGAACAAATCGTGACAGATCAGGTATTGGATTTTATTCTCCCATTTACTTCAGTCTCTAAATGGTAGCTCAAAATTACACAGTGTGGTTTTTGTCCTGTCTGTCTCCTCTCATTCCCTACTAGCCGTGGCAGATAGCTCCCTGAGCCCGGTTCTGCCGGAGGCTTCTTCCTGTTAAAAGGGAGTTTCTCCTTCCCACTGTTGCCAAGCGCTTGCTCATAGGGCGTCATTTGATTGTTTTGGGGTTTCTTTTTCAAATTATTGTAGGGTCTTAACACTAAAATATAAAGCACCTTGAGGTGACTGCTGTTGGGATTTGGCAATAGATAAATCAAAAATTGTGCTAAAAGCCCTTATTTAATTTTTGAAAGGATTTCACTTGTGTTTAAAACAGAACATTTAGAAACATTATTACCAAGGCTTGATCGTTTCTGTCTACTCACTGAAAAGTCTGCATCTTCTGCCCTGAGATGATCAGCGATGTACTGCACTCCCTCTATAGCCCGTTTCATAGCTGGAGAAATAGTTGGAATCACAGCATCCTGTTGGGTACTTGCATCTTTTGTGGACTCTGCTGTTAGGGTTTCTGCTAGCTGATCTGTAGGAGGAGTTTTTTTCAACTGCCCCATTATTCCAGAGACCCCATCATCATGCAGACAGCAGTACTGGACACTGCTGGAGCGACACAGATGTCTGGCTTTCTGAGGAAGCGACTTCTGTTGGTCACACATTTGCTCTACGCTGTGGGAGCGACCATTTGGGGCCAGTCTACTTGGTTCTTCCCTCGACAGGTTGCGAAGTGGACCCAGTGGCAAAGTTGGGGGCAATGACAATTGGGAAGAAGACGAGGCCGCTGAGTTGTGTCTGCGTAGGGGTTGCTTCTCTGAGAGAACTGAATACTGACCAGATGTGGATCGGCTGAAAATGTCGGCCTTCAGTGGGTGATCTTCTTCATTGTGCTTCCCAAGAGGGGAAGAGGGTGGAGATGGTGAGCAGACGAGGATGCTTGGGCTGTCAGACTGTGTCCTTGGGATTATATTTTCAGCCTGGGCCATTTGTATTAGCCCAGTCTCTAGGCCTGTCCAGAAGGCCTGAGAGTTGCCTGTGGCAGATATCGTTGTTGGACGGTGCATCATCTCAATAAGCTTCTTGCAGTGCTGCTTTGCGGTGCCTGGCGGACGCTTCATGAAGAGGACCTGAGGTACCAAGTCCAGGAATACTCTGCGGACCCAGTGAGGCATGCCATGTGTTTGTGGGGATCGGTGGTGTACATTCAACACAAAGACGGTAATTATGATGGAGAGCGTGACAAAGACCATAGTGAACAGCAGGTATTCACCAATCAGTGGTATGACCAGAGATGTAGATGGTATTATCTCTGTTATCAGCAGGAGGAACACTGTTAAGGACAGTAGCACTGAAATGCACAAGGTAATCTTCTCGCCACACTGGGAAGGCAAATAGAACACCAGCACAGTCAAGCAGGAGATAAGCAGACAGGGGATAATAAGGTTTATAGTGTAGAACAATGGAAGCCTCCGAATGATGAAGTAGTAAGTGATGTCTGCATAGATCTCTGTGCAGCACTCATACTTTTTTGTATTGTACTTGCCCACTGCATTGACAATCACCCACTCCCCGCTCTCCCAGTAGTCCATCTGGTCCACATCACCGGCCATGCTGATCAGATCGATCTTGGCACGGTCATAGGTCCAAGAGCCGAACTTCATCTTGCAGCTTTGCTGGTCAAAAGGGAAAAACGTGACATCTATGCTGCATGAAGACTTATAAATGGCTGGTGGCATCCACTTTATCTGGCCATCGTAGAACAGATGCGCCTTTGTGAAGTGAGTAACTGCAAAGTCACCGTCGGCACTGCAGATGAAGACCAGGGGAGAAAGGTGGAAACACATATATCAGACTCACATCACATTTTAGCCCCTCTTTAATAAAGGAATTTTATAAGTTTAATTCTGGGTGATTTCTTCAAGCACTACTTTAAAATGTTCAAGGTCAGTCGCAGCTCACAGGTAGAGTAGATGTTCAGTTGCCATGGAGGTAACTAAGTCTTTTTCATTGGAAAACTCAAGTAACAAATAAGATTTTTTGCTCAATAGATACAGGAGAAAGTTAAAGAAGTGGTGTTATCCGTTTTTACAGTTTCTAACCCTGTGAAATTCAGGGGTCGAGACTAATTTAAAATGTATTTAAAAGATTAAGTATTCTGAGTCATCAAATAAAAAGTGAAAATGTCTTCACCTATGTCAATGACACTTATGTTTATGTGTGTACATCTCTAAATGGGCACGATGTCATGTCTTTAACATTCGGTTGGTGTCCAGTTTGTTCATTATTCAGTTCATTCACAGTCTGTTGTTGCCTTTTTGTTATCTCTTCATGCTCTACTTGTGTTTGAGTCTGTCTCCATTGAGTTACTTCCTGTTTTATTTTGGTGTTCCTTGTCATTTTCTTTTCTTTTTTTGCAGTTCCTGTGTCTCATTATCCCTGATTTGCTCCAGCTGTGTTCCCCATCTTTTTCCACCAGCCTCATTAGCTTTTGTATTTATTGTCTCAGTCTTCCCTTGTTCTTTGTTGAGTGGCTCCATATTTCTGTGTGTTCTCTAATGTTTCTCTGAGTCTTGTAGTATTTGTTAGTGTTTCCTATCCTGGAGTAATTATTCCTCATTATTCCATTTTCCCGTTCTTATTTTGGACTGTTTCCCTTTCATCAATCCTCCACTTAATGCTTGCTTTATGCTGCACATTGCATTTGGGTCCGCAAGCAGCTACCACTTTCCACACAGCTTATGATTTTCTGTTTAGAGACGTTTATGGAACAATTCAGTGCTAACATGATATAATTTTCGAGACGTGAATAAGGTCTTCATGAGCCAGAGGAAAACAGAACTTGAAGATACAGTTTTGTCTCAGATCTGAAATCTCCTTTGTGTACACAACAGTCCTGCTTTTACACACCTGATACCAGTTATTACATCCACCCTCATCGTGTGAACCAGCAATCTCAGTTCTACATCTCAAGGTGCAGAGCTCATTCCAAACCATTCAGCTCAAGTCTACAGAGGAAATAGCTTGAACCTATGTAATCAGAAAACCCTTTTGATGTTTATTTTCTCTGAATGGACATGCAGGCTATTCACAATGTAACATTTTGCTGTTTAAATCAATGCTGTTTACAAAAGTCTTTCAGATATTGTGTCACAAATGCACTTCACAAGTGAGATCGCCATGTTTTGCCTTACTAATTAAAAGAGAGAAGTGACAAAGGTTCAGTCATTTCACCATGAAAACAACAATCTTTGTTCAATAACTTAAAAGTTGGATATTTAGCAAATTCTTTCATGAAATTTTCTTTCCTATTAGCCGACTTTTGGAAAAAATATTAATCCAGGTTTACTTGAGGTGCTCATACTAGATGCATTTTATCGTTGAAATACATCCAGTTACATTTCACCTTCTTATTCCCAGCCAAATATATTACTTTCTGTCATACTGAGCTTTGTTTGTAACCACATCCATTAGGAGTGACCTTGTTCACATATATTTCAACTAAATTCCTTTATGACATTGGCACAGGACAAGATGTTTGGCACAACAGCAGATTCTTCGTGTTTTCCCTCAAGTCATGCCATCTGTTGGAATTAAACCACCAGAATCTGAGCATTACTTGCCATATGATCATTTTTACATTGAAATGTTGACATTTAAAACGCACAGGAAGCACACTATGGGCCTGAAAAGAATCTAAATTTCATATAACACAAAAAGGTGTTTCCTTCCTCACTTGTTGTAGAGGACAATGTCGGGTCTCCAGATAATCTCTGAGGGGATACGTATGGAGGTGACATTTTCATAATCCTCTGGGTTCCAGCGGAGTTTGTAATCGTTCCATTCCTGTTGCAAAACATTAATCATATTTATGCACCGCAGCGTTATACTGGACTGTATTTCACATGCCTTTTCTCTATCATCTTTTCTTACTTGCTTAACCCAGACATTTGTAGTCATCATCTGGTTCTTCTCATCCTTTTATGGAAAACAGAAAAGAGGATTACTCTGATTACAATGAATTCAACGTCCATCAGCACTTTATTACCACTGAGATAGAATTGAGTTTTTTCTTTCTCTCTTTTTCATGGTCCTCCCCCAAACTCATGGGGATGGGATTTTGTCCCCATAAGTGAGTGTTAG